GTCAGTTTAGACGTAATTCTGTCCTCCTGCTTACCGCATCATTTATGAGAAAACATTTCATAACATTAACACAACATATTCGAGGTGGTTTTAAATAACATATCCATATTTATTTATTTCTCCCAGTTATGTTTTTGTGTGCACTGAGGAGTCTCAAACAGGCGTTTGTTAAATCATTTTAAGATTGGCTTTAATCAATGTTTGAAAATGAATTCTTCAGATATGATAAATGAGAGGTAACATTTTATTTATGGTATTATTTCCACATATTTCTCTCCATTCTTCCTTCTGCCAACGGTGTCGCAGTTTCTCGTCTCTCCCGTTTTTGTGCTTAGTGCGTACGCATGGGTTAGAGTTTCCGTGGAGGACCGCACGTTTTCCCGTCAAGTTAGCTTTTTATAAAATCACAAACATTGCGTAGAAACTGCCGTACGCCATCTTTTGAGCGTATATCCCTTTAGAAATGAGGCCCCTGGCATTCAGAGTCTAATCGTGAGTTGTGTCTTAATCTTTGTGTACCAATGCATATGCCAATTAAATGATGTGTAACTGAAGATATTCTCATCTTAAAATCAGCAAAAGCGTACAAGTCCTTAATCCTTTTAGGGATCAAAGAACGTATACAAATTCTTGAAGCATCAGGTAAAGGATTTCTTAACCTTTGTCATTAAAGACTCAATCCTCTTCGCCTTGCATTGAATTTACTGCACAGCTGATCTCATTCTTTATGTGTCAGCCATACAAAGTCGATCCTTCATTTGACCCTGGCATTAATCGAGTGTACATGTTTGCTCTCATCATGAATAAAGTCATGTCTAAGTAACAGACTTTCTGCAATCTTTAAAAAGGTCATATTATAAATTCTCTCTTAATCTTCTCGTGTCTAAATATACCAAGCTAGATCTGTTGAAACACCATCAACCAAATGAGCTTCAGTGACACGCGTTTTGAGTCCTTTTCTACACATTGTGTGCACATTAGGCTCACCTTGACAAGGTAGTCGGAGGGGTTTTTCTCCAGGTAGGCGTCCAGGTAAGTCTGAACTGTCTCGAGCAGGCGGGTGAAGCTGTAGGAATTGAGGAGCGGGTCGTGAGGGTCCTTCTTCGTCACCATCGACGACACCTTGGAACACAGGTTCTGTGGAAAGATGTAACGTTGTAAAGCATTAAAAAAACAACCATTCCAGGCCTTAAAGTATTCCAGTTTTGAGAAAGTGCTCTGGAGAAGAAAGGAGAGTAATGGGAACACAGACCTGCGGTAATGTATAGTTTTTCTCAAACCACTTGAGGGCCAAGCAGGCATGAGATATCTGGTCTGATATCAAGCACACAGTGACAGACTGGGAAAGAAACACATCAGCAATCAGAACAGTGACATCAGAACTATGCTTATTCCTTATAGCTCAGCATCTCCAGAAGAACTTAAATAACATTTAAAAAACACATCTGGAGATCCTTCACCCCCCTTTAGATCCTTGTGTGATTACCTGGACAAACAAAAGCTCCAGGATGTCGATGAACAAACGTTGCTCTGCCACAGTGTGCTTGATATCACACCAGATTTTGGCCGCAGACATCAGAGGCAACATGTCCTCATTCTCTTCAAACTGGACATCTGGAGAGAAGCAGGGAATTACACGGTGAAGACAGGAGGTTAGCTTATGTGTGTCTGAAGAGAAAGGGAGCACACTATACCATTTCAAACAAAGGTCTATCGTTGTTTAAGCAAATCAAAACAGTGATGGCATGTCTCTCATATCTCTGCATTCTATCCGAGCTGCTACCAATTTCACATCCTCAGCCATAAAGTGTAAACAGATCCCAAATCAGTGTTTTAGTAGCATGTCAGAAATGTGATCTGTAAAAAGTAGAAAAGGGTCAAAAGAGGCTTATTTCTAAGCATGTATTTGCATTTATGTGATCTGCTCCATCGAAATCAGTCGCATCGACCCGAAGACACATTTTGAGTAGTATACACTGTTGGAAAGAGGAGATTCATAACTTCCTGAGGCCTGTACTACGAAGCCGGATTTTCGCTTAGCGGGTTAACGTCAGGGAAAACTCTGGGTTTCCGGTACTACGACGCTGGTTCTCTTTTTAGCGGGCTATATCTCCATGGTAACTTATGCGGCAAAAATCACCGACTGTGTGAACGTGAACATTCATAGAATATCACCTCCCATCTTCAGAGCAATCTGACTATTATAACATTAGCGTTAAGAAAGCTTACTTAAATATCTGCCACAATATAAATAACCGGATCAGAGTAACATTAAGTACAGTCCGCGGCATATCACATCATAATGTATCATATATCTCCTTATCTGAGTCAGCTGAGCCGTATCTGGCCGTGCAACACTCAGTGTCACATACTGTATGAGAAGTATTATTTTAAGCAACACATTAAGTTGACGAAACACTCGAGACAAATGTAATTAAAGTCAGATTGTGTCTTAGCAGTGATATCATAAACCTGTTAATGTACGCATTCAAACACTTGTTCTGTTACCAGCTGTATTCACCTTGCAGGTGCAGCTATGTGGCTTTGATCCTGGATAAAGTGTTTAAGTCATGGATGTTTAAAGTTTAACTTCTTCATATTTGTCTAATATTATAGTTGACTTTTCATTCGGGAAGTATGACGCTGCGCTGTCAGTACGCTTCTCCATGTTTGTGATTGGTCGAATGCTCCAGATACCACCCCTTTCATGTGAACGCGCACCTAACTAGATAGGACACGGCTGGCTTGAGCGATCCACTTGATAACCCGCGTCGTAGTACCGTTTAGCGGCAGCGCGTATGTTTTGGATTAGGCCAACCGGCTAACTCAAACATATCCAGATTAGGAAAATCCAGCTTCGTAGTACAGGCCTCTGATCGGATATCAAAGTGGTCCTAATCCTGTTTTTTGGTTTTGAACTACCCAAAATCCAAATATAATGACTGTCACCCAGTCGACATTTTGAGAGAAAGGCCTTTAAAGTTTCCTTTTCTCTGGAATCCATCGATCCAATTGATTATTAGCGGAGCAAATGATCAAAATACTACGGAGGGAAGATATTTTCGTTTGGATTACTGGTCTGGGGGAAGCTCGCGAGTGTGTATGTATGTGTGTGTTTGTGTGATTTTGCGTTTCCCGGGGAAAACACTCACGAGAAACACCGGCTGTTGTTATGCCTGTAGTGACGTTAAATTACTCCGTTCTCTGCTTGTGATTATGCCGTTACAAGCTTCAAAGTTATATTTATCATCTGAATTTGCCGAAACAAGTTTAATATTCCGAAAGCAAAGACTTTGTTTATTTGAAATCAGATAAAAACAAACTGTAACGGACCCTGCAGTGTTATTTATGATTACTATACGCCTGACATTCATAATGTCAGCGGAGGGAGGGGGAGCGGCGCTAAGGAATAGCAGAGTGGCGGGGGAGAGGTGTCTTCTTCCCTTTACAAGCTTAAAAAATGTGTTTATCGTGTGATTTTGGAAATAAAAGTTTCATATTCTGAAAGCCAAGACTTTGTTTGTTTAAAATCAAACAAAACACCTGAACCCCAAAAAACTATTTTTTTTTTTAGGCAAATCCACGTTTATTTTGAAATGAGACGTTGCGACTTCCGACTGATTTCGATAGAGCGGGTCACAAATGCATGTATCTGTATGACACAGTTCTCTAACAATGTATTTATGCAAAACAATAACATATGCATGTGTAGAAAAACGTCTAAGAGCGATGTCTAATTTTCTGACTGCGACTCCTTACCTAACTGTTTGCCGTGCATGACTCTTGCGAGGAACGCACAGATCATCGTTTTATCCTCATGGAGCTCTTTCGCCGGACACTCAGTGAGGGCTGCAAAAACAGAAATACATAAAATTGTTGTCGGCCACAACGCCAGGTACTTGTACTGTGTTTGAGTATTTTAATGTATACCCATTTGAAGCTCTTCTCTAGCACATCTAAATGCCAAACAAGCGTTTTTTCTCCACTAAATGTACTTACAATCCACTTAAACAACTGCACCATTACATGCATTCCTCTATCTTTAATTATCACCCATATTATTATTAAATTAGATCTGAAATGGGCCAAGAGTACTTTTACCTATTTGTATATGTTGATGCCAGTTCGGTACCTTTCATCCAACATGACTAGAGTACTTTGTTTCCACCATTGCCCAACTTGAAATGAGGCAATGAAATGTCCTTGTCTCTTAAATTTCACATATAAAAAAGGTCAAGAATATATTAAGGATAAGGGCAGACATTTTAAAGTATTTAAGTAACCCTTAACTTTCCCCTTAACTACGAGTCTAAAGCCAATATGGATATGGATATCTTTACCTATAGTTATACTAACCCTAACCCAGTTATCATAATAAAGCATGTATTGATATGTTATAGTAGCTAATAATATGTTTGTTTGTAAACTTGACTGTGGTTGAATGTAAGCTAAGCTAGCTACCGGCGTTAGTGTTGTTATCGGTGGAAAACTCACCCTCTAAAGTCTCAATTATCTCGTTGAACTCTTCAAACTTCCCCTCCTTGAATCTCCGACACAGACTGAGGAACATAAAGTCCACAATCCATCCCGTAGTTACAGCTCGAACTCGGGAAAACTCACAAATTGCTTTGTTGTGGGTTTCAGCAGCCATGTTTGTTGTTTCATTTCTCCTTCCTCTCTGGAAAAGGTTTGATTCCCGCGCTGTTTTTTAAGCGCGTCACAGCACACAGCGCCGCCCTTGTGGCCTGGAAGAGAACTGCAACTACAGTTTTTTTTTACAAAAGTCCTTCAAATAGATTCAAAGGCTTTGTTGACATATTCTCAGTAAGCCCCAGGCTCCTCCAACAATGCAACTTAATATATAGGAGATAAAACAATACAAATAATTTTAAAATACAATATAAATAGTGCACAAAGACAAAGAGTAGAATAAAATAGGTTGCAGACCAATGTGCAAGGAATGCAGATGAAGTAAACTATACAGGACTGTCTCAGAAAATTAGAATATTGTGATAAAGTTCTTTATTTTCTGTAATGCAATTAAAAAAACAAAAATGTCATACATTCTGGATTCATTACAAATCAACTGAAATATTGCAAGCCTTTTATTATTTTAATATTGCTGATTATGGCATACAGCTTAAGAAAACTCAAATATCCTATCTCTAAATATTAGAATATCATGAAAAAGTATACTAGTAGGGTGTTCAACGAATCACTTGAATCGTCTAATTAACTCGAAACACCTGCAAGGGTTTCCTGAGCCTTGAAAAACACTCAGCTTGGTTCAGTAAACTAAATCACAAGTATGGGGAAGACTGCTGATCTGACTGCTGTCCAGAGGACCGTCATTGACACCCTCCATCAGGAGGGTAAGACACAAAAATAAATTTCTCAAAGAGCAAGCTGTTCACAGAGTGCAGTTTCAAAGCACATCCACAAAAAGTCTGTTGGAAGGGGGAAATGTGGCAGGAAACGCTGCACAACCAAGAGAGATGACCGCAGCCTTAACAGCATTGTGAAGAAGAGTCGCTTCCAGAATTTGGGGGAGCTTCAAAGACAGTGGACTGAAGCTGGAGTCCAGGTATCAAAAGTCACT